ATATGACTGGACATGGAATACATTTTTCAACAATAACCAAAAAGTAACAAATAAGAAGTATAGATGTCGCTATATATACTATAATAAAAACGTATAATACAAATTTAAAATCTTCCTTAGATAGTGTTATAATTATATCATAATCAGAAGTCAATTCATTGGAAAGTACTTTATAAAATATTAATTTTAGTCATACACTACATGATTCGTTTTAATAATTAACCACGACTGCTATTTGTTACAACATTTAAAGCAACGAGGTAACAATAATGACATTTGAGCGATATAATTTACTAGCATAAGTCAATTTGTTCATATTACATTTCATAGATGGCGGTTTTTAATAAATTAATCAACATGCTCGTAGACGTACATTCTGTATTTTTTTAGTTCTATGGGCAACATTAAAGTTCAATCAACAGGGACATCTCATGCCCGCCGGATGATGTGTGGACGGGCGAGGTAGGGACCTCGGGGTATACCCCACTACCCCGACTTCAACTCCGGAGGCGACGACCTCCGGGTCGCTGGGTTCTTCAGCCGGCATACACTGATGGTCTGTGTATGCCGGCGTGGTGTCTTTACATTAAAGTTGAATTTGCTGAGAAAATTATACAGCGTCTATAATAGATGGCGCTCATATCGCCATATTCAAAACTTGGAGGACTTTATCGATAAGTTCCACAAAAAAGTCGATTTCAATTATAGCGAAATCAGTTATTTTCATTTAAAAACTGAACTACTATACCGATTTTGATAAAATTTTAATGGGACCATGTCGGTTTACAAATGACAAAATTATGAGATGACAAACTTCTTTTTTTTATGTTTCTTGAAAAGATAAAAGTCCAAAAAGAGATTTTTTGTAAGTATAATTATTATAAGAACTCTTCCTTTAGCGTCAGCAAAGATTCCAAACTGTCATTTGCATTTCTTAAGCTTATTATTTGAAAGCTCCAATATTTAATTAAATACCTGTACTTGGTCTCACTGTGAAGTATAGGTTACTATAATTATATTGATTAGACTATGTCTTTAAACATACACTGTAAAATCTATTCTGTGTAACGCTAAATATCAGTTTATTGGCCAGTATTAAAGACTTCGGTGTTTATATTCGTAAATAAATAAAAAAAAAGTCATAATTTGTACAATTAAATTTATTTTTCTTTTCTCAAAATAACAAAGAATCGTTAAGCTATAGGTTTAGAACCGAGGACCTTAGTTACAACAATAAATAGTCGATAAACGATAGATAAAAAAAATATTGACACACACACACACCTCTAGTACCACAAAGTTTTCGAAGTTACCCCACATTTGGTCCATCGACATACATTAGAAGTCACAACACTATCTCAATACAAGAACATACGCCGTCGGTACATTCTAAACGGATACAGTCTTTAAAAACCCACTTTAAAATTACTACAGAATACGTTTAACCTTCGTAATGTTTAAAAAAAAAGGTTATAATAATAGGTACATACTTAAATATTATTATTATTATTTGACAATAAATTATTTAGAAAACATAACAGAATTTAGGCCTATTTATTTTTCTGCAGCAGTGTTAAAATATTACAACATTTTGTTGTTGTTTGTAACAACAATTTTTTTATAATTTATACTTTTTGTTTACTTTTATCATCAGTGATCTGGTAAAATTTAATGAATAACATTTTAAAAGTAAACCTGATCAAAATACTTAATCGATCAGACAAGAAGCTCGACATACTGGAACGGACTGTTTTTTTTTATTTTTATGCAACTTAGAACGGCAAACAAGCTGACGGCCCACCTGATGGAAAGTGGTAACCGTCGCCTATAGACATGAGCAGTACCATGGACATAACAGAGTATACTGTTTCGCCCATGATACCTCCCATGCGTTGCCATTCCTGAGGACTCAGATGATATTTTATGTCGCACAGAATAAAAAAAAACTGTTGTTACGAAACAACTGTGAACGTAGCAACGAAACTGCTTTATTTGGGGGGAAAGGGATTGTTAGTAATGGAGACTGAGAATCCCATTGCTAGCAATATACCCAATCAGGTCGACCTCCATGCGGTTCCCCCTGGAAACTATCATGGTTAATTCCTGATGAATTGATCATGATGGGCTAACTGGCCTGTTTTCATTCTCATCTATCACCCTTCACTGGTGCTCCGCCAGCGTATCCTGTTAGCGCAGGCGGGGTTACCATACCATTTTCACCCATAAAAAAAAAAACTGCTTTATTTAGCACTGACGCTAGACCTGTAGACATTATAATGACAACGTGAAATAAATTAATTTTTACAACAGCCATAAAATCACAGGGTAAAGGATTATTTAAAATATATATATATATATATATATATATATATATATATATATATATATATATATATTTAAAAATATATATATATATTTAAAAATACAAACATACATTATACTTATTGTAAACACACACGTCGAAAAGAACGAGCAAGTCACTAAAAGAACATACCCCCGTAGTACGACTACAACTGATAATTTAAAACAACACGTTTGAATTTTTAAATTTTCAACATTACCTCGTTAATCTTAAATATTTAAATTACCAAAAAGATTATCGAATATTTATTACACACGTTTAATATTTAGATACTGTGGCATTCATTTTGGAAGAGACCATGAACATTGAATTCGGTTTTTATAACGACTACAAAATGAACGTACCCTACATAATACCATCATAAATGTCATGCATTCAATGCAATTAATATGCTCACATCGTTAATACATCTCGTACCTCTATTACAACTATATTGTAACATGTTAAACAAATTTCTAATTTAACCACATAAATTCATCTATCTATTCAATTACCTCCGAACTATTGCGTTCATAAGACTCCAACTAGATTAACTATACAATCCAAATCGAGGGGTCGAGCTACCGAGATAAAATTCATCCAAATTGGATACCATGAAATTTCATTGTTCAAAATTCATTGCCTTCGTGAGATCTTCTATGAGTCGAGAGCGACGTTGCAGCGATTCGTGCAACGGTCGTAATCCAATAATTTTAAGAGAACACTAATGCACTTCACTAACACGGAGCAACAGTTTATAATGTTTACACGGAAACTACCTCGAAGGCACTAGAGTTCTAGTGGTTTTTAAGGAAACAACAGAACGCACATTTAAAACTGTTGTCGGATACAAGTTATTGTTTAAACGTCTTGTAGCATTCAACATTGGAGAATTCAACACTAAGAAATAATTGGCATTAAAAACAAGAGTGCTGGCTTTTTTTATCACTTAGAAAATTAGTGAAGTAACGCAGCCAGCATCTTGAAATAATTACACACTGGTTACTACGATTTCTTTTCTATACACTGTCTATTTAGAAACCTAATTATTTTATAATTAGAATAATATGCTATGCATTAATCTAGGATATAGGTTAATCGTTTACCAAACCTATCGGTATCGATATTAACCAGCCTTGACATGGATAATATCGATACCGTTCCAATATCTATATTGGGTTCGTCAGGACGTTGATGACAGAAAAAAAGGTCATAAACATTTCGATATCACCCATACCAGCTGGATTTCGACTGGATCCTTCATTTCAACATTAAATATTGGATAACAGGTATTTACCATATTCGTTATTTAATCAGTAACATAGATATTGTAACTAAAATAGACAGATATTGCTATGTATTACCAATCCCTTACACAATACCTTCACAAACTATCCATTTATAACGTCTATTAGTGAAATAAGGAAGTTTCTAAATGTATAGGTATACAACAAAATAAAGAGGGGGGAAAGGGATTGTTAGTAACGGAGACTGAGAATCCCATTGCTAGCAATATACTCAACCAGGTCGACCTCCTCGCGGTTCCCCCTGGAAACTATCATGGTTAATTCCAGATGAATTTATCATGATGCGCTAACTGGCCTGTTTTCATTCTCATCTATCACCGTTCACTGGTGCTCCGCCAGCGTATCCCGTTAGCGCAGGCGGCATACCATTTTTATCCAACAAAAAAAAAAACAAAATAAAGATGGAATACATACTTACTACAACACTATCTAGTGGCGCAACTGCATGAAGTTAGCGACAGTTTGTAAAATCATCTGCTGTTATGTTCGCGCGATGCCATCTACAGTGTGAACATAGCAGCGGATGCATCATGCCATTATTATTACTTTGGCATTATAAACTATGGTTTTATTTGCTCAACGGGTGCTTATGTATTACGCTGTGGATAACTATAATTGGCTAGTATTTAGTAAAGTATGTTATATATATTTAATCATGTAAAACGTTGTTATTATACCAAATAAAATAAATAAATAGAAAAATCATGTAGTTTTGTGATCGATCTTTACAGTCATTTATAAAATTGTTTATGTAAGGTTCATTATAATTCGTTAACCTTTGCCACTTTTAATGGGAGAGAGGTGATTGAAGTTAACCGCGATTGGCCAACTTCAAAGTGATCGGTCACTAAATATGGTGATGTATAAAGTTGTCTTGATTGATCTATTATTTTCTTGACACTGTATTGCGTGAAAAAAAAATATTAATTTAAAATGTGTTTTGATTGGTCATTACAAACAGTCATACAAACATTTAGTTTGTTCTGTTTACCTTTGTCATTGAAAACAGAGATGATTAAGCTTATTATCAGCTGTTTTTTTATTGGTCTCTATGCAAAATAGTTTTGGGAACTAGTGAAATACAGTTTATTTAATTGCAACCTTGCGTTTATCTCTATATATATATATATATATATATATATATATATATATATATATATATATATATATATATATATATATATATATATATATATATATATATAATATATATTAATATATAAATTATTAATATTCTAATATATCTTTAAGTAAAAACAGTGAGTGTTGAATGCTCCAAGTTTCCATATACAAACTCGCTTCGGTTATAATCCATTCTCCTTTTTTTTTATTTTAAAAATCGGTTAATACTATTTTATTTCATTATCTGTTCTAATATTGATATGACTCGAAATACTATTGACTATAATGAAGTTTGAAACTATCTGTCTTTTCTATAACGCCTCTAGTACTCCTGAGAGCTGGACCTCGTTGTCAGAGAAGCGAGATTCGATCCATTTTTTTTTTAATATTAAAACCTTAATTAATACTGTTTCACTTTATAACACTAGGAGAGGAATCTGCAGAGGATGCACCGTCGTATCCTAAACACAGACAGTAACGGTAACCCATCCTGTACTATAGAACTGTTTCAATTAACACAATTCTTGTCTTGAAGCTTAACTACCTAAATATTTAATCCATCGATATCCTATCAGAGTTCGTCATGAACTGTCTGAATTTTTACATTTCAGACGAACAATCCTCTGATAATAAATAAGAGGATTGTTCGTCTGAAACGTATCAACATTTATTATTAGAAATCCCATCAATTTTATATGTAATTAATTAACAAATAATGTTCCAGAGACATTAGGAACTATAAATGATGATATAGTAACACTGAACAAATCCCGTTACAGTTAATACTGTGATTAACATTCCCATAAACAATACAAATCTGATATTTTAATATTAGGCAGTATCATGTTAGACTTACAAGACATTAATTATACAGATTCTGATTTGTAACCTAATAATTGTTGTTGAGAAATCATAACGGCCGGCGCCGTTCACTAGTCCAATGCTAGTTACACTGTCGCGTCCTGTTGCGTGTTGCGACATGTTACGCCCTGTTACATGTTACGCCCTGTTACATGTTGCACGCTGTTACATGTTGCACGCGGTTACATGTTGCACGCGGTTACATGTTACACGTAGCTTTCCACGTGTGCGCTAGTGGATGGACCCTAGAAAGACGCTTCCACTAAGTAAGTCCCATCCATGGCGACACCGGTCTGGTTTCCTTGCACTGTACTCCCCGCCGGAATGTATTTACCACACGCTTGCTGCGAAATATAAAAAACAATAAATTACAAACAGTTTTTTTTTTAATAATAATAATTACTAAGTTCAGGAATTGTATATGTATCGTTTAAAATTAAAAATGTGTGTGTTAATTGAAATCAATGTTTTAATTAATTGAAATATGGACAATAAAGTTTTTTTTTTATAGTTTTTATATGAAATAAGACAGACACTTATAGTTGCGATTTCTTTTAACAATATCTTAAATTTATTTCATTTAAAAATATATTACCTGAAGATTTACGTTAAGAGAGAATATTTTCACCAAATATTTGGCATTATATATGAAATAATATAAATAATTTCCAATTTAAGAAAAAAATCATGAAAATTTAAGAAGGCATTAAAGATAATAAATATACCTGCCTACATAACTAACTACTTCACATTGTTATAACCACATCTTAAACTAAGCTTTACACCATAAAAAGCGAGCGAAGACAGTCCCCAATAGCAAATTTTTGGAAAAAAAAATTAAAAAGAAAAATGTGTTGGTAAAAAGGAAAAAAAGGAACTGTGAAAAGTCAGCGATAGCAGTGAGTCTGTTTACGTGTAGGTACCGAGTGCCCACCTTGATGTGTGCGTTTCATGCCAATTAAAATATATATGTATTAATAATATATATTTCTCGTAGACCCATAAGTGTCTTATGTGAGTGTGAAAACGTATGTACAGTGACGTCATCCTTAATGACAGGACTCAACTTTGAAAATCACAATGTTTTGACAATGGCCAACAAGAGCGCCTAAGTTCGATTGAAAAAAAAAAAACACTGACCGGTAAAACTCTGTCAGGGAGATAATTCAAAATGTGTGCAGTGTGTTGGCATTAGATTGAAACTGTACTAGTATGTCACAGTTTTGTATGTTTCAATACAAATATATCATACATCAAAATAATACGACGAAATCCTCTCAATATACAGAAACAACACTCCTGGATCTACTACAGTGATGACATCGCTTTATTCTCTACATAAGTACTCATATTTAGGAAGAAGAAAGCGAATGTATAATATTACTTAAAAAAATTGCATGTTACATGTCACAATGATCATATACATCTAGATATAATATTTCAAATATAAACGCTTTGTCAAAAAACTGCCCAACTCATTTTATTCTTGTGTGCGTAAATAGGGATAACAGAATAAATAATTATTCCACTGTAAGTGGGAGAAATGCGAATTTTAAAGTTCGGTTGAAATATAAAAACAATTAAATCAAGTCTATATAGTCGAAATAAAGAGATAGATAAATCATCATGATACATAGTCTGATATCAAAGTATAAAGTACGCATTCATTATTAGAATAATTGCAAATTATTTCCATTTTAATTAATATTATATATTTTTAGTACTATAAAATGTATCATATAATAATTTTATATCAGCCGTTAACTATCCACTGCTGAACATAGGCCTCCCCCATAAGTGGAGGTTTTCCAATAGTTGCCACGCTTGGCAGGTGGATTGGTAACTGCAATTAAGTTCTAAGTAATGTTTTAAGACAGGCGCTGTTGTCCATCCTTGTCCATCAAGTTCCGTTAATCGCCTCTTTCGACACCCTGTTACAGGAAGGCACATTCTATTGATTCTAGCAATTATATTGTCATGTGGATCACATGGCAATATAATTTGTAGATATGTATATTTATATCATTCAAGAAAAAAATAGTAATCAATTCATAAAGAAAAATGTATCCGATTTGGAGAATTCTGTATCGAATTACTTGCAACACTGAAAAACGACGCGTTTTGTTTTTCTTAAAAAATACACGTCATCCAAGTATTAGGACGTTTTTCGACAGTCGGCGTCCTATCTATATATATATGATCTATAATATTACTTATAAAATTACATGTAACAACATGTCACAAAGAACATAAAATGCCTTTTACAACATAGCATAATCACAGCGCAAGCTCAAAGTAACATATACACCACGACAATAAGTACAATAATACTTTATAATGGATAATAATACTTCATCAAGCAATATGCAAAGATTTTTGTTGCAGCCAACACCCTGCAGACATTTAAAGCCTCGGAATTTATGATGTTTTACGGTTATTACCACACAGCAAATAGGGATCCTAATAAGTCTAACTTATAGATATTAGGCTTTAATTAAATATTTATGCTAAATAATTTATAATTACGGTAAAATATATTTATTCTTACCATATACCTACTTAAGAATTATTAGAAAAAAAAATTAAACTCGTTTTCCAATTTGACAGATGTAAATTCAAATAATGGCGGGAAGCAAGAAACATGGGTTCGAAATTCGAAGTTATAGTAGTAGTGTCAATTTATTCGCAATGGAAAAGACAAAGAAACTAAATCATACAGCCTGATCTTCTGTTCGAAATTCGAATTGGTAGGAAACAAACCTCACAATTTAATTCTTATTTTCGAACTTAGATAAAGCATTACCTAGTTTTATATTATCTATGAATACTACTGATCTACGATTCGATATGAATCTACGATTAAATAAAAAAAGAGAGTATCGGATTATTTCTAATTTTTAATCCCAAAATAAAAGAAGTTACACCTACATAGACTGTCGCAGCATTAAATTCGTTTTTTTTTTTTTCAATTACAGTAAAATCAATAAAAACATAGTTAAACAATTGTTTTGTAATTTATAAACTTTTTCATGTTAGTTGAAGTCGCTGTGTACTCTAAATTTGACATACTATTTAAACTTGTTATTGTCAAAGAGAAATTATTAGAAAATCTAATAAGTACATATCTATGGATGATTTATAAATATGTGTAAATATATCTTCAATACTCCTATACCACTATATCTGTTTTCATAAAAAAAAGTATCTAAACTTTAAAATAGACTTTAATTGAACACTTATAGAAAATTAACTTAAACCAGAGTTATTTTTTTGAACCTATTAAATGTTGTAACTCGTTTTAAAACAGCCATGATATATGAATAACAAAATTAACAACACTAGTCCAAAGTGCAGTACATAGCACATTTGTTGTTTTTTTTTTTTGTTTTTAATTTGGCAACTGGCAACTGCCTATATGCCAAAAAAAAAATATCAGAAACTTACACAAATAATAAACAATATTATATTATATCCACGTTGCTCAAACCATACTTCCTTCAAGAAGAATAAACGCAAATAATCACTGTCTCACAACGTCTAATAACGTCTCACAAAATAAACTCCGGTAATAATGAACGCAAATAAAGCTGCGCACTGACGGCCCGACATCGCTGCGTGGTAATACCGATACACATACTGGTAACGGGTCTTCGCTGGGCGCGGCGGAGACGGATGTGTCAGATGGTCGAGAGGTCGCGGTGTACCGGCGAGCCCCCTTCATTCTTCCCTTTCTACTCGAATCTAAAAGCAGGACCTGTCAGAGCCAATCGTAGACTGAGCCTTTGTAGAAATAATAAAAAAAAAATACTCTTTTTTTTTTTGTAAGTGTTGTGTGCTCTGAATACTTTTAATCTACGTGTGAATCCGCTCGATGGATGTGTAAAACATGAAGTATATCTACTAAAAAATCTCTAAAAATAATTAAAAGGAACTAGCAAAATATATTAATTAAATAAGTGAATCTACGTAATTGCTACCGGATTGTCTAATACTGAAAACTATAGTCAAATGAAGAAACTAATATTTGAAATGATCTCTTACTTTCCGTAAAGGCACCTTAGATAGAGTCGAGTATACTCTAATTTTCTTTTTGTAGTGAAGCGTTTTTTTTTATTTATTTTATTGCCATATAAATTTTTCATATTTTATTTACCCCTTACAGGACACATAAACAGTGGGAGAATACATTACAATCATGATAAATAAATACATTACATAAGGCGATAAGCCACATTTCGTAGATTTGAAGTATGGAGCTCTAGCATGGAGCATGGTAGCTTGGGTCACACGACAGAGCTATATTTTGCGATAAAGCAACATTGACCCTTATCACAAGTACATTTAATACTTATTTCCATGGCCATAGACATATTAGGTGTCATAATTAGCCTATAATAACTTCCACAATTTTTTTTTAAATAATAAAAAGTTGTAAAATTAAAAAAAGTAAACTAATTTATCAAAAATAAAAGTATTATATCTATATATTGTTTTGAAATATTATTCTTCGCTATCTGAGACTTACTACAGAAATATTTTACAGCCATTTTGTAATGTCAATAAAGTGTTATTTTTTTTTTTAATTTTAAAAGTAAATATATTTTAACCATATTGTGTACTAGGCGCATTATATTCTGTATTATTAGATATATTAATTAACAATTTTAAGCAGCGTGTTAAAGTATTCTAAATTCATAAATACATTTGTAACGCTAAAATACAGGGAAAAATATCGTGTAAAAAATATAGAACACTATTGTTTGTAATTTGAACCATGGAAATAAGTAACGCATGGGTCCACAACAAGTGCTGAGTGGTATACCTCCCGTCTAGGGCACACGGTGGTTAGCACCAGCGGACTGATGCACCGTACTGACCGTCGGCGCTTCTGCCGCCAAAACGTTAAACATCATGTTATTCATAACGGAAAAGGCAAAGGAAATGAATCATACAGCCTGATCTTAAAATCTTTGTTCAAGGAAAATATCAGGTCCAAATATATTATAAAATATTAAAATTAGATACTATCTAAATTTAAAAAAAGATTTATTTTTTATTGCTTTTTTTTTACTTGTCCTTATAATAGATAATGAATCTTATGATAAATTTACAATAAAAAAATATAATATCAAGAAATGTTTATGCATAGATTTTATATAGAAAACAATGCGTTTTTAATTATATTTTATTTCTATAAATTTTTTACCTATTAGTAAATTATATTTCTCGTTCATTTGAAAATATTTAATCCGATTCCTTTCCTCAAATAGGTAATTATCTATAAAGTATAAACGCAATAATATAACAAAATGTATTTTCAATTTTTTACCAAATTAAAAAGGTAAAATTGTTTAAAAATAATTAAATCACAATTGTACTAAATACCTTTATTACATATCATGAGACGTCAGCCTGGATAAACGCCTAGTCAGTTATATATATTTTTATAATTGTGCATGAATATTTGTAAATAAAAACGTAGATTTTTTGGCGTGAATTTACCGAGTACAGAGGAATAACACCTGAATCCTCAGGAATGGCAACGCATGGGGCGGTATCATGGGCGAAACAGTATACTCTGTTATGTCCATGGTACTGCTCATGTCTATAGGCGACGGTTACCACTTTCCATCAGTTGGGCCGTCAGCTTGTTTGCCATTCTAAGTTGTATAAAAAAAAAAATTTCCTTCAATAAATTACTATTCTCTTCACTAAAGTCGAGAGCTATTTGAAATAGCGGGACGGGCATTTTAGAAACATTTGCAACTTTAAACTAAAAAAAAAGTATACGGGAAGGGTAGGTGTTAAAAATTTTATATATACGTATACGATATCACGATCCAATAGCTGTGAGAAGGACGTGCGTAAAAATCGTTTCGTGAGTGTGTAACCTTATGCTTGTCGTGTTAAATTTGACACAGTAATATTTTTTTATGCAACTTAAAATAGCAAACAAGTTGACGGCCCACCTGATCGCCTATAGACATGAGCAGTACCATGGACATAACAGAGTATACTGTTTCGCCCATGATACCCCCCATGCGTTGCCATTCCTGAGGACTCAGGTGTTATTCCTCTGTACCCTGTAAATTCACGCCATATCCCACCTTTCAAACCGAAACACGGCCATGAAAACACAACTGCTTCACGGTAGAAACACGAATGGGACAGAGGTGCCCAAGCAAACGAGTACAAAGTCTTCTTCTGGTAATATATATATCAGTTTGTCTGTAAGAGATTGCTTTTAGCGATAACGTCGCCACTTATATATGCACATTCTGTATAAATACTCCTTGTATACATCTCTATTGTGCGCAATAAAAAGTACATATGTAGTTTAGTCGCTCGTAATCTAGGTGGGCAGTAGATAATTTTGGGGTGGGCACGGTCCATCCATGATCTCCCTCTTTAATACGCAAATGAAAACATTCTTTTAAAGAAACGTTTTACCTGTGAAAGCGATATTTTTTCTAAAACAAAAATACGCCAAGATTCAAAAGGAGCGTCAGTGTCAAATCTCTAAGTTAATTAAGGCTGGCCCTGCATAACACCATCCACATTATGGATCCCAGCGATGTCCAGTGCCCGTGAAAATTTAATTATTTAGAAAAAAAATACTTATTTAGGTCACATACATACAAACCTTTCGTAAAAATATCTGAAGAACTGTGAAAAATGTATCAAATCCGTTGCTTGGTTTCGAAGAAGTAAGCGGAAATTAAACAGGCAAGAACAACATCTTTGTTTTACACTGTTTATAATTTATCAAATAAAAGTAAATAAAAAAACTCATACTTTTTAGGAAATTAATCTATTATTATTATTTTTTTTTTTTACAAATGACCAGTCACTTGTAAACTATACTATAAAATACTAATTGGTTGCCTTGTATTTGTGTAATCCATGGAGACGGGGCACTGGTGACTTGTGACACAGGTTCTTCAAAACCTACCGCAAGCACCAGTCTCTCACAAAATTGGTCTTACATATCAAATTGTACCTCAAATTGTTACTTTATACTACCTTTTTTGAAGAGAAAATAAACCATTCATTCATTCATTCACTTGGTTCTTTTGGCCTTCCATTTGTTTATTTTTTTCATAAGAAATATCGTTCATTAACTTCAAATTAGGAATGTCTTTAAATTTAGAATATCCATAAATTATGGTGTTGCGTGTTCTGTCATTTAATACTTTAACCTTTTTTTTTATCTTATCTCGTTTATGAAAGAGTTATTTTTTTATATAAAAATAGAATACCAATCGTCTGTAACATTCAAATTTAGAATGTGTTCAAATTTAGAATGTCTCGTCTTTTTAAATTTTAATGTTTCAAATTAGGAACTTTTTTAAATTTAGAATGTTTATATAGTGTATGCGTATGTCCCGTCACCTGGTACTTCTGCGGGCAGCAACCGCACCGGGCGCAGCACGCGAGCAGCGCGGGCGCACGGCCAGAGTGCGCGGGCGACGCCAGTGGTGACGGGGAGCCGGGCCGCTTCGCTGCGCCGTTATAAGGGTTCTCCATTTCGACGAATTCCCGATCCTGCAGTAATTATAAAAAAAAAAGAAAATTATCAATACCACTGAATACATTAACAAACTTAGAGTATATATGTAGATGGAGCATCGAGTCTCAAAAACGGGTCATCTTTTTGCCAACTAATTATCAAATTAGCTGACTCGTTTTTTCTTTATCAATGTTCTTATATATTTACGCAAACAATGTATCTTGACGTATCTAATATTTAATTATTTAATAAATAAAATGAGTTTTTACGCATTAAAAAGATACAAAAATTATAAGGCAAATTAAACATAGAAGTTATAAAGGAATCACTCATAACTATTTATCACGCAAAATTGTATGAAAAAATTGACCAGCTTTTCTCGAAGCATTTGTATGGAGACAGTCTATCTGTAAAGTTTAAGATTACGAACTAAACATTGGCAAGAAAGGAATTATAATCTTGCAATTTGAATTAATATGTTGTAAACTATATCAATATGTTAAAAAATATACTAATATTATTGAAAAAAAAAAATGAATTAAAATAATTTACAATGTACCATAGTCGGTTGGCACAAAATTTTTTTTTTTTAATTATTCATATTGTCTATGCATTGCATGCTTACAGTTGTACGCTCCAAGCATCTCAGCAGGTGGTGGTGCTGCAACTCGAAAATGTCCTCATCCCGTCCAGCATCGTCTAGCTCCACGCCCGACTCCTGCGCAGCCAACCTCGCTTCTGCCGCCTTCTTCTTGGAAACGAACGCAGCGCCGGACGACGCCTTCGCGATACGTATACGAGCAAGGCGGGCTTTCTGTAATGTAAACGTAAGTTTCTCTTAAATGCATCTTAGTCTTAGACTAGGGGGGGAAAGGGATTGTTGGCAATGGAGTTTGACGACCCCATTGCTAGCAATATATTAGGTCGACCTCCACGTGGTTCCCCCTGGAAACCATCGTGAACAATTCTTGTTGAATTCGTCATGATGGGCTGACTGCTTCATCCTCACCTATCATCCTTCACTGGTGCCCCGCCGGTGCCATTCCTGAGGACTCGGGTGTCAGAGGAATAACACCCGAGTCCTCAGGAATGGCAACGCATGGGGGGTATCATTAACGAGATAGTGTACTCTGTTACGTCCATGGTACTGCTCATGTCTATAGGCGACGGTTACGATTTTCCATCAGGTGGGCTGTCAGCTCGTTTGCCATTCTAAGTTGCTTAATTTTTATTTTATATTTTGTGCAACTTATCAACCTATATAACAAATATTTAAAATCATTTCTTTTAAAATCTTACACTTAAGTACACAAAAAAAAACACAGCCTTCATGAATGACAACGTATGAGAAGTAAGGTAAGAATAATTGGTACCATCATTTCAAAATAATAGAATTTTCATCGTGCCTCCGATCAAACTGTTTATAATTACTCCTCTCCATCCAAAGGTTGCCTGGAAGAGATCGTTCTTAACGATAAGGTCGCCCATTGTTTTCTCACTGTGATAATTTCTTGTAATTGTTTGTATCTATAAAAAGTTTACTATTGTAATCTTTTCGAGGAAACAGTAAAGAGTATCTATCTATTATAGTGTATTATGGTGAATCATGATGCTTTACATAGTCTATAGAAGATGGTTACCACTTCCTATAAATTTCTTCAGCGTCTCAGTTACATAAAAAATGTATAAATAAAAAAAACAGTACCCTCTGCGCCTTCCGCTTATCAGCCCTCTGGTTCTGATGGTAGATCCTGGAGAAGTTGGACACAATGACGGGCACAGGTAAAGCGATGACAAGCACTCCGGACAGTGAGCAGACACCTCCCACAATCTTGCCAGCTATGGTCCCAGGCACCATGTCACCGTAACTGTAACATTGGAGGAAAAAATAAAAATAAATACTATATTTTATTAATTTGAATAAAATTAATATTAATTTATATTATTATGAATATATTATATACATATAATCTTATATATTGGTATTATATATACATATGTCCAAATAGAACGCAGGAACAAAAGTTCCCACTTCTTTTTCTACCCCTTTTTTGTCTTTATTCTTATATTTTATCTTTTACTTTTTACATTCTATCTATACATGCTAATCCTTCTCTTTCTAATCAAATGTATAATCACTTAATATATAGTAAATGTTTCAATTGAGTTGAGCTGAGCTGAATTGAATCAAGCGCAGCTGAGTTGAGCTGAGCTGAATTGAATCAAGTGCAGCTGAGTTGAGCTGAGCTGAATTAAATCAAGTGCAGCTGAGTTGAGCTGAGCTGAATTGAATCAAGTGCAGCTGAATTGAGCTGAGCTGAATTGAATCAAGTGCAGCTGAGTTGAGCTGAGCTGAATTGAATCAAGTGCAGCTGAATTGAGCTGAGCTGAATTGAATCAAGTGCAGCTGAATTGAGCTGAGCTGAATTGAATCAAGTGCAGCTGAGTTGAGCCAAGCGAAGTTGAATTGATTGAATTGAGCTTAACTGAATTTATTGTGTCATAACTATTATCAGTAGTCTCTAACCAGTAGTCATGTCTAAAAACAAGTCACAAATATATTTGTTTTTCAATCAGTCAGTCAGTGGATGCAGGTGGCTCAGGACCGTTCTTTATGGCAGTCTATGGGGGAGGCTTATGTCCAGCAGTGGACGGATAATGGCTGAAATGATGATGATGGTATTTATTTTTCACAAAAAAAAGTAACTTCATGGTCAAATAAAGTAGCTAACGACTTCATGTCAACAATTACCGTAACATTATAAATAGTTGCAGGTAAAACTATAAAATACAAAATGTTAGAAGAACTAACAGTTGCATCAATGTTCCAGACACACCCACTCGTCTTGGATCTCGCAAACAAATCTCGTCGTAAACATTTGGAACAATCTCGTTACATTCTAGAAGTGGCTGCATTACACTGGATTTGTTTACATTAACAATAATGGATAATTTATGGGAATTACACGCTGGGGTAAAATTTTTATTTCGTATTTTTGAATTAAATTGTAGTCGTTTATAATAAATCTATGGGCTTAATCTCTAGTTACTTTCTCGTATGTGTCGTAAAAGGCGACTAAAAGAATTAATGGGCGACAGCATCCTTCTTTAAAAGTTACCAAAGCCTAACTACGGTTACGAACTGCCAAGCGTGGCAACTACTTGCTAAACTCTACAAGCAGTTGTGTTTGCATGGCTGCATTTCAGTTTGAAGGGTGGGATATGGCGTGACTTTACTGGGTACGGAGGAATAACACCTGAGTTCTCAGGAATGGCAACGCCCCCCCATGCGTTCGTGGGTGTAACAGTATACTCTGTTATGTCCATAGTACTGCACATGTGTATAGGCGACGGTTACCACTTTCCATCAGGTGGGCCGTCAGCTTGTTTGCCATTCTAAGTTGTATAAAAAAAAATATTACATTAAAACAAAACAAATAGGTACAAATACAATAAAATTTTCTCCTTGAAAAATTCCTGCAGTGTATAACAACTTTTTGTAATTAAATATTTTTAGAGCTATTTTAATTTTTGTAAATTTTTTAAATTAATTTAATTTAATTCTATTGTAAAATTAGTACATATTACTGCTAAAACATTAAATATTTCGTTAGCCAATATCAAATTTTTATTTTAAAATACAATTTCAAACAATGCCGCTTTAGAATGGGCCCCATTATGATCGCTGGCAGGTGGTTAGTTCTCATACAATATGATCGTTGCCAACCAAATACAGCAAATGAAATACAAACAAACGCCGTGTATGTATTCGTGTATAATTAACTAAGCTACAACCTAACCTAACATTTACCGAGACTATATAAATACGTTTTGTGTAATAATACAAAAATTTTTAAATTCAGTTGTAATAGCTCAGTGTTTTTTTTTTTTGATGGGTGAAAATGGTATGGTAACCCCGCCTGCGCTAACGGGATACGCTGGCGGAGCACCAGTGAAGGGTGATAGATGAGAATGAAAACAGGCCAGTTAGCCCGTCATGATGAATTCATCAGGAATTAACCATGATAGTTTCCAGGGGAAACCGCGAGGAGGTCGACCTGGTTGGGTATATTGCTAGCAATAGGATGCTCAGTCTCCATCCCCATCAACTGTTACCATAAAAACTACAACCACTCTGTCAAGAGTGTACAACTGAAGAGAGAGTGAGAAAAATACAAAGTCTTATAACGGCACGAATTACCCATACAAAAGATAAAATCTTTAATACCTATTTAAACTGGAATGAAGAAATTACTTGACTAAATGTGTTATTACTATTCATAACGTGCTATAAAGTTAAACTTGTTTTAGATCTAAACAACAAATCTAAATAACTTTACTCACATGCCGATTACAAAAATACCTGATTTCGTGCTAAAAAGAAATAATTTCACGTGAAACACAAGCCTCGACCTTTGATAATAAATCTTAAGCTCTAGATATTCAAATCTGATCGTAGCGTTCCAGTACGCAATATAAAACCGTATGTATCAAGTAATGTATTGTTAGCGCACGCTATTCACACGGCCGTGAAATGATGGGAGCATATTAAGCTTTCAACGCGTAAAGTTCACTGTGTCTTAACTGGCAAGATATGTATAAACATACGGGTCGATAAATTGTTTTTGACCGCAGCGTGTACGTATGAAAATGTAAAGTAAAAGTCAACACACGATATATGTAAACAAGCGTCTAAAATATCTTTTTTTAAATAAGTCAAATTGTCAGCATAATCGTGTGAGTGAATTGTAAAATTTGTTTTCTTATAATAATCGTGTAAAATTGATTTGCTATATCGAGTCATATTAAAAAGTCACTATAATGCTATATCTCAGTAACCATAAATTATAAATATCTAAATAGAAGAGATAGTTAATCTTGATATATATATATATATATATATATATATATATATATATATATATATATATATATATATATATATATATATATATATATATATATATATATAAATAAGTAATTAAAAAATAAAAATAAATATATATTTAAAGATAAAAAATTTCAAGTCACTTATATTATTAATTAACAAATCGAAAACCTACGTCAATTATAAACAAATTATTGGTCATATATATGTGTGTGTATATTTCAGCTGTATTTGTGACCCTTAATCCCTATCAATTTTATAAATGAAGGTTAAACAGATTATAATAAATCCATATATCTATCATTAAATGCTTAGCAAATTTAGACTAAGCCAAAATACCCAGACTTAGAAGTTTAAATGTGGAAAATAAAGTGTTTATATATCGAATTTGTAAAGGGTAGGTAAAAGGAATCCTTTTTCATACATACTACGAAGACGTCCTATTATAAGATTATTAATTTCTGTAATTTCTCTTTTCATTTAAGAGTTTCCACTTGTCGGTGCAACTAATTCACGCATCTTTCTGCAGCCAGTTCTATCCCAGGCCATATCCTTGACCTCCCTATACGACATGACACCTAGTGTTTCTTTTATCTGTCCCATGTAGTTATTCCTCGGTCTTCCTCTTCCTCTTTTGCCCTCTATTTTTCCCTCTACTATTTCTGTAATAATTTAAGTAACTATTTTAATTGTTTCGTTTGAAAGATGTGAGATGATAATGAAATTACAGGGTACAGAGACTTAATATTCAGTACAGTACCTTAGTACTCAGAAATGGCAAGCCATGAAAGGTATCATAGGCGACATAATATACTCTGTTGTGTTCATGGTACTGGTCATATTTATAGGCGACGGTTAGCACTTATCATAAAGTAGGTGGTCAGCCTGTTTGCCATTCTAAGTTGCATAAAATATTTTTTTTATACAATTAAGAAAGGCAAACAAGCTGACGGCCTACCTTATGGATAGTGGTAACCGTCGCCTATAGACATGAGCAGTACCATGGACATAACAGAGTATACTGTTTCGCCCATGATACCCCATGCGTTGCTATTCCTGAGCACTTAGATGTTATTCCTCTGTACCCAGTAAATTTACGCCATATCCCACCCTTCAAACCGAAACACAGCCATGCAAACACAACTGCTTCACAATAGAAACACGAATGGGACAGAGGTACGCAAGCAATCGACTTTTGTACAAAGTCTCCCTCTGGTGATAATTATAAATTACTATTGCCTATAGTAATTTATAATTTTTAAGGGATTGCTAGTAATGGAGACTGAGAATCCCATTGCTAGCAATATACCCAACCAGGTCGACCTCCTCGCGGTTCCCCCTGGAAACTATCATTGTTAATTCCTGATGAATTCATCATGATGCGCTAACTGGCCTGTTTTCATTCTCATCTATCACCCTTCACTGGTGCTCCGCCAGCGTATCCCGTTAGCGCAAGCGGAGCTACTATTTCATTTTCACCCATTAAAAAAAAAACATAGTTTAGAACTTGATGGCGCTGTTGTATCTTATTTTAAATCATTAAATCACATATCACAATAATAAAAATCTCTTTTATGGGATACGTCCGCACTTACATTCATTCTTTCTTTAAGTACTCTTTATCCTATAATTCAAGACTACTGCTCAATAAAGTGTTACCAATAAACATTTCGATTTGATTTAGTACCAAATAATAACACAAGAAATTTAGTTGCGATTTCAAATAATAAAACAGTATCGTATGTTTTCATTGCCTTGTTTTTCACACCAAGGCTAGGCCCTTCTGTTGTTCACAGCGTAATGGACTATATTTTAAACGGTATAAAATAGATATTAACTATTCTATAATTAGATCCAACAAGTGTGTTTCATGCATTGTTTACATGCGAAATCTCACTTCCTACGTTTCAAAGTATTTTTATTATGCTGGTGTGAGTTTAGGTGTTAGAAAAATGAAATCTAAACAACTATTTCCGACTT